TCGGAATCGCGGACAGATACATGCGCCGAAACCACCTTGGTTTTTCTTCGTCTTTTGCTTGCCTTGTTGTACCTGGACATCGCCAGGACTCTGTTCGTGCTTCTGCTCGACGCTGTCAGGTATCTGCAAGGAAGGGACTGAGTGAATCTGGTCGGAATTGCGAGCAGATACATGCGCCGAAACCACCTTTTGTTTTTCTTCGTCTTTTTGCTTGCCTTGTACCTGGACATCGCCATCTGTGCGTGCTTCTCCTCGACGCCGTCAGGTATCTGCAAGGAATTGAGTGAGTGAGTTTTTGGTTGGCATTGCGGACAGATACACGCCCTGAAACCTTTTTTTTTCTTCTTCTTCTTCTTCTTCTTTTGCTGGGCAGCAGTGAATATGGACGGAATTGCAGGCCGGGTGCGCACGTCGGGGTTTCGGCTGCGTCGTGTTGTTGTGTGATCCTTGGGACTCTGCTCGACGCTGTCAGGCATCTATCTATCTATCTATCTATCTATTTACCTGCAAGGAAGCGACTTAGTGAATTTGAATGGAAATGCGGATAGATACATCCTCGGGAATCCCTTTTTTGCGGGGGTTTTCACGCTCGCAGGTACGTGAGACGAAGCGACGGAACTTGATCGGATCTTGCGGACACATACATCCACGGCTTTATTCTTTTCTGCTTGGGATGGAACAGCCTATCAATGGAATCGTGGGCACGTCCTTCGGGAGAGACATCCGTTAAAATTGGAACGATACAGAGGGCCAGATCCCACTCGCAAAAAGGATTTGAAGAAGTGTCCGAATCTGGGCGTGATCCACGCAGAGGTGCAGAGAAGTAGATCAATCACAATCTTTCGCACCTGTCCGCAAACACGTCCACATTCAGACACTTCCTTCAATCTTCTTTGCCAGTGGGATCTCGCCCTGAGAAGGAAGATTATCATTGGGACGTCCCTGCGCGAGGATGATGAGACACGCATAAATCGAGAATCGCGGGCACAGACATGGATGTCGCCGCACGGCACACGAAACGAGTGAATCTTACGGCAGAAAATGGCCAGCTTCATCCGTTTGCTATGAATAGTAACGAGTGTATGTGGCCACCTTCCGTGGGCAGATGCAATCGTTTCGTTTTCGTATCCGTTTCGTGCGCCGTGGGCCGAGGCCCTTTTTCCGGGATATCGCCCGGCAATCTTTTTGTCTTTTTGTGCTCGGCATCTGCCAGCTGCCTGCCTGCCTGCCTGCCTACCTATCTACCTTCCTACTTGCAAGGAAGTGGGGACTGAATCGGATTGGAATCGTGGCTACATACTCCTGCCACGGAAATCCTTTGCTTTTTGCGAGAGAACATGACGGGAATTTGCGGGTACATACATGCATCTACGGAAGTCCTTCCGCAGTAATGCAAGTATGCCCCCCTGAGGGCATCCTGACACTGCAGTAGGACCTTTTGCTCTAAGCTGTGGACGAAATTGCAGTTAGATTCATCTGGTCTGGCCGTAAATGCTGTCCCAAAAGTCCTCGTGTGAGTATGCATTCCCCCTGAGTCTAGCTGAGGGCTCAGCAAAGGTGGACCAGCGGCCGTAAGGCAGACTCTGAGCGAAGGTAGACCACGCTGAGCAAAGGTAGACCAGCGGCCGTAAGGCAGATGACGCTGAGCAAAGGTAGACCAGTGGCCGGAAGGCAGACGCTGAGCGAAGGTAGACCAGCGGCCGGAAGGCAGACGCTGAGCAAAGGTAGACCAGCAGACGGAAGGCAGACGCTGAGCAAAGGTAGACCAGCG